TGGAGGCTGGAGGCAGCGAGGGGGAGGGGAGAGGCCCTGGGGCAGCTGAGGAGGAAGGAAATGGGGGGTGGGGTGGGGGGGTGGCATCCCCTGGGGTTTGGCACAATCAACATGGCACCTCAGAGAGTAGAGGCCACCCGTCCCGAGCAGATGCAACCGGCATCCTTGGACGCAGGGAATTCGCTCTCTGAAGCCAGAGACCCTCTGCAAACAGGCTTATCTCCTCAGTACCAGGGAGCTTTTGTTCGGTGCCGCGAATGTGCGGTGTTTTTTAAATCCTCACCAAAGGATATGTTTTGTTTTGTTTTTTAAATTGATTTTTTAGAGGAGAGGAAGGAAGAGAGAGAGAAAAAACAACAGCAACACACCGATGTGAGAAACTTTGATCAGTTGCCTCCCATACACGACCCAACAGGGGATTGAACCCACGACCTAGGCATGTGCCCTGCCTGGAAATGGAGCCTGCAACCTTTTGGTGTTTGGGGTGAGGCTGTAACCAACCGAGCCACTTGGCCAGGGCCGTGCAGCTTAAGTTTTGACCCTTTGAAATTCTGATTTGACACTTGTGTCCAGTTTACAGTCACTGAGTGGATTTGAAGATGGCAGGGGCCGTTCAGTCCCTGCTCCCTCAGTCATTGACTCATCAGACAAACCTGTGCGGGGAGTGATCTGTGCGCCAGGGCTGGGCGAGGCCCTGGACTCGTACCTGTGCCCTGGGTGCCGGAGCCCGGCCCTGCTCTCAAGTAGCTTGCGGCCCAGTGGTGCACGGAAGCCTCACACTTCTGGGGGACAGAGGGCGTGCAGGTGCGCAGCTTGCCTTGCTGACTTCTCTGCGGTCTCTCCAGCCTGAGTCCCAGTGACCTTGCTAACCTGTGGCCAAAATGAGCATCTCTCCAGCTCTCCCTCCTCACTGCCCCCCAGATGTGCACCGTGATGGTTAATTTTCTGTGTAAACTTGACTGAGCCAAGGGGTATGCAGATATTTGTTCAAAAATCATCCTGAGTGTTGCTGTGAGGGGATTTGGGGCGAGATTAACCTGTAAATCAATAGCCCGAATAAAGCAGGTTGCCCTCCCTAAGGGGGGGTGGGCCTCACCCCACCCAGTCAGTGGAAGGCATGAGTAGAACCTACCTAGAACAAGAGGGAATCCCTCCCGCCTGCGGTCTTCAAACGGGGACATTGGGTTTGGGGTTTTGGGGTTTTTTTTGCCTTTGGACTTGAACTGAAACATCTCTTCCTGGGTCTTGAACCTGCCAGCTGGGGATCTAGACCTCCAGCTTGCTGCCTGCAGACCTCGGGACTTGTCAGTCTCCATAATCCTGTGAGCCACTCATTGTTATAAACCTCTTTCTATACATCCATACATTGGGTTCTCTGGAGAACGCCAATACAGAAGCTGAGCAAAAAGCACTTCTTGGCCCAGCCAGCTTCTGAGATCCAAGCGTGCCCATCAGCCCTCCCACCCAAAGTGCTGCCCCTTAAGCCCATCAACCTGCGTGCAGGTGAAATCGGAGCCCCTCCTCCCAGGCCTGTCGAGGGTCCCTGAGCCCCGTTCATGTCACAGTCCGTTGAGACCTGAGCGTCTCCTTCCACCGGCCCGGAGGCTGCAGAGGCCTGGCCGCAGAGCAGGGGACGGGGCCCTGGGCAGCATCTCCCACTTCATTTCATCCGCGAAACTCCAACATACCTGCTAGTGTCAAGCGCTCGTTGAAAAAGTAGGTTAACCTCTGTCTTTTATGAAGGCTGGGGCACCTTTAGAGCCTTGAAGAGCATTCAGTGAAAGGGTGGTGCTGCCCTGGCTGGGTGCTCAGCTGGGCGGGTGTCATCCCGTACACCAAACGTTGCGGGTTTGACTCCTGGTCAGGGCACATACCTACATTGTGAGTTTGATCTCCAATTGGGGAATGTTTGGGAGGCAGCTGATGGGTGTTTCTCATATTGCTGTTTCTCTTTCTCTCTCTCCCTTACTCTTTCTCTAAAATCAATAAAAAAAATATGTCTTCAGGGGAGGATTAAAAAAATTTTAAAAAGAACAGCTGGTCCCTCCTCTGAGGCCCAAGAGACCTAGAATGGGAGGTAGTTCCACTGCGTCCTGAGAGCTGCACGGACAGGAAACAGTTTCTCTCTAGAGGCATTTTGCCTAAAATGTGTCACTCTTGGAGGTTCCAGAGCCTAGTAAATAAATGTTTACCTACAGATGATTTCATCATCTAGCACAGAGTTGCAGCTTACATTTGCCTCCCTTTCTGAACACATGGCAGTGACAAATAGCCACATCAGGAAAAACACACAAAAAGAACCTCCCCATGACGCCCAGGACGGTGCAGCTGGGCCTGTGCAACCTGACGCCCGGCCAGCGGCGCGCTCGCCGGCCGCCTGGCCATTTTTCTCAGCTGTAAACACAGTCCCCGGCGGATTTTTCCAGCTGACGGCAGGGCCAGGGCGGGGGAGCCCTGTAGTCAGCGTGGACGCCCACGCCCTGGCCTCCCTGGAGTCACCACCTGCTGCTCCTCCCCCTGGGAGCAGGGGACCATGAAGCAGCTCTCCAAGGAGCCGCTCGGATGGTGCTCCCGCCGCCCCAGATTCGTGGAGGAGACAAACGGGGTCGCGTGCTCTTAGTGGAAACAGTCTGTTTGTAGAGTCCTTGGTCACGCAGGCAGAATGCTTGTCTCATTTGGGCTTGCGGAGATGAGCGCCAGGAAATTGCAGAATTTGATTTTGGCCGGAGGGATGCACGACTCATTCATGTAGCAGCTACCCTCTGAGCCCTTCCTGTGTGCGGTGGGGCAAGGAGACTTGGCTGCCGCCCTTGGAGGACATACCCTCTTGCAGGAGAGGCCGGACATGCACAGCTGCCATGAGATCCCGGCTCTGGAGGCAGGACTAGCAAAGGCAGAGCGAGCGCTCTTCTGCTTCGGGTGACCCTGGCCTGGTCCCAGGCAGATAGACCCCCAGGTCTCCGGACAGGGTCTCCGGACTGTGGCCGGGCTGGAGGGCCTCTGCTGAGAAGACTGCACGTGTTTATGCAGAAACAAAGCTCACACTTGGGGCCCCAGACCCTCCCGCCCAGAGAGAGAGAGATGGCTGTGTTTTGAGCCTGGCGGATCCCCTGTTTCCTCCTTTTCCTGGAGTCCACGACAGCCCTGGGACCCCTCCTGGGAGGCAGAATCTGCCCGCACCAGCTGCTTCCTCTTGCCTGTCCCTCAGCTTTCCGCTGGCCACCTGGCCACCGTGGGAGCAGCTGGTGGGGGCGCAGCCCCTCGTTGCCACTGGGAGCGCGAGGTGGAGCACGGCGGCTGGTTGGAACGAAGGAGTGTCTCACTCTGTCCTGGTCTCTCAGGCACCGCCCGGCCTTCTCTCATCTGGGGTTTACCCGCTGCTGGGAGGCCTTCGGGATTGGCAAAGCGGAGATGCCCAGGCACCTGCCGCTGATGGTATCTCAAGAGGACAGTTAATTGGTTGGTTTGGGGTATGGCATAGGCAAGTATAGGCAGTGTGTCATTGGGTACTGTCCCGGAGTAAATGGGTAGAGGCTGTACCTTTAAGCCAGTTGAGGGGAGCATTAGAGGCACCAGGGAGCTTGGTTCAAGTCCTCCCGAAGGCCTGGGCCCCACCCCAGCAGCTGGAGTCACTCAGACCAGAAGAGCAGAGACCCAGGAAAGAGCTGGTCTGTAAGGTGTGAGATCTGGGCCGGGCCGCTGGGCCGCTCGGCCGCTTACGGGCCGGGTACCTTGGAGCTGAGAGACTGAGGCCCACCTCCCAGGAACCCGGGTCAGGCCACCCTGCTTCTCCGAGCCCTGGTTTCTTCCCGTACAGAGTGAAGGAATGGGATGGCATCCTGAAGTCCTTTCCGTTCTTTCCTTATAACCTGGCCTCCCAACCCGCCCAGTTATTGCACCTGCTAAACCCCTCCCACCGGCGACTGTGAGCGGCCCCTCCTGGTGAGAGGCCGTTGTGCCCGTGTGACATCAGGCAGACCTTCCCCAGCCTCCAGGATGAGGCCTTATGAGCTGGGTGTGGACCTGGGGCCTTTCACCAAGTGGGTGCGGCATCTGAGGTTCCCTAGGAAACGGGACCAAAGATAACAAACATAGAAGGCAGGAAACCCCCGGGCCTGAACAGCTTCAACCGACAAGTGAGACCTGGTGCTCAAGTTCAAGGCCACGGGAGGCGGGGCCGGGACCTGTTAGGGGCCACGCCAGCCCCTTTCCCTGCTCCCTTCAGAAGGGCGGTCCCAGAGCCCCCCGGAGGCACGTGCCTGGAACAAGCCAGATGTCACAGAGCAGAGCATTTCTGCTGTGAAAGGGATAGCGGCTTTGAATGAGGGAGCGGCAGCTGCCTCCCCACCCACCCTCCAGAAGGGGGTGCTGTGCGGGATTCCAGGAGGGGCTTTCTCCCGGAGCCCTGGAGCCCTCCTGTCCAACAAAATCCCAGTGAGGTCTGGCCATGGGCCATTTGTTTCCTGGGCCACCAGAGACCGGGGCTTGCTCTGAGTCGATCAGACTGTTTGGCCTGTTACAGCCAAAACCAGACCACCCGCCGTCCCCCCTGTAAGTTTCCAAGTTCCGGGGACTTCCCCCCATGCTACTTAAGCTCCAGATGCAAGAGGCTCCAGGGCCCAGAGGGTCTGGCGTTTCCCAAGGATGCTTGTACATTTCCTTAGGCCACTCTGTGGTGTTCGGGGACCCCACTCAGGGCCCAGCACCTGATCACCCCCAATCTTAAGCTCTGCAGAGGCCTACGGGGGGGAATTCCTCAAACCAGCAGGTCCCGAGTGTCCCTTCCTGGGGGTGTCAGCCCCAAGTGGGGGTGTCCTGGGAGCAGCCCCCCCAGGGAGCCCCGGTCCCAGCCTCTGCTTCTGTCTTCCAGGCGGGCCTGGCCTCCCCCGAGAACGCGGAGCAGCTCATCATCGCCCTGGAGCCCGAGGCCGCCTCCATCTACTGCCGGAAGCTGCGGCTGCACCAGATGATCGAGCTGAGCAGCAAGGCTGCGGTCAATGGGTACAGCTCCAGAGACACAGTAGGAGCTGGGTTTGCACAGGGTACCTCTGCTCTCTCTCTCCCCCTCCCTGCTCTCCCCTCCCGCCTGCATGTCTCTGGGCCGCTACTGTGTACATGCACTCGGTGCTGTAATGAAGAATCAAGGTGCCGCCAGAGAGGCTGGCATTAAACACCCTGTGCTCAGCCCCCTCCTTGGCCCCTCCCAGGGGCCTGGGCACACCTGGCAGTGGGTACCCTGGTTCATCACCCACCCACGTGCCTTCGGAGGGGGGAGGGCGCTGCTCTCCGAAAACTCGAGGGGGCCCTGAGAGCAGTCCTAGCCTTGCATTTTACTAAGCTCTTAATCTTTCTGTTAACTGATTCTCAATCTAATCCCATTTGCCTGTTATTAATTCTTCCATTAAGACTGTTGACTTATTGCTGACTCACTCATTGGAGCTGCTTCGTGTGTGATGACTCATTATGTGTCTTGGCCATAAACCTGGCGAGAGTTTAAACTGCAGACGGAAAGGACTGACGCTTCCTGACCCGCGGATGTTCACTTAGCTGTGGAAGAGTCACCTGCCTGCCTAGGGACACTCGGGAGCTTCGGGGGGACCCTAAGGAGCCTTTTCTCCTTCGTATTTTCCTGGGTGCAAGTCGGCCCCTCTCTTGGTCCCCAGAACTGTTTTCCCGGGTGTCCGTCCAGCGCTCTGTGGGTCTGTTCAGGGCCACAGCATTCGCAGACACCTTAGGTCAGGGTCAAAGCCACCTCTGTGAGTGAGTTTGGAAGCTAATCAGCGTGCTGGGGCGCACAGCTCTGAGCTCTGTCCCCAGGGGAGGGCCCTGAGGGCACGAACCCGCCCATCACCCCCCTGGAAGGCCAGGCCCAGGAGGGGAGGGGTGGCGTTAGCCAGGGCTGCCACAGGGTGCTCCCCCTAGAGCCATCGTCCCAAGTTTTCCGTGGTCCCCACCCCGAGGCCCAGCGAGGCCATCTCCATGGGCCGCTTCCGTTCCTCTTGGCGGGGCAGCTGCGCCAGGGCCCACGCCCTGCACTTTCACCCAGGACTGGGGAATCTGTGAGCCTCAGCACAAAGTTCACTTGTCCGCGAGCTGTTGCCCCTGGCAGCCAGGCCCCGATGTGGGCACCTCGGATCTGAGTCACCCGGAATGTGGGGAGCAGGCTGCCCTTTAAATCCAGGGCTTGACCTGCCCTTGTGTAGCAGTGCTGGGCCCCAGCACAGGCCAAGGGCAGCCTTGCTGCGGACCAGGTCACCTGCCTGTTTAAAACACACGGAAAGACAAGCTTATGTAAATCTCCACCTTCATTGTTTTAATGGAAAAGACCAGGAGGGACTGGGCTTCTCCTCTCACTTGCTGGTTCTTCCTTAGTTGTTCATAAAAAGAAATCCAGGGGAATTCGCTAATTCTAGTGCCGCTCTTGCCACCATTTCCCCTAACCTGAAGGGAAAGCTGTTTGGAATGCTTTTTCTGGGAGCTCAGCCTGGCTTCCTCTCCTCGCATGCGTCCCGTCTCCCCCCTGGCCCGTCCCGTGCCCTCTGTCTGTGGACTTGGCTGTGGGCCCATGTGCTCAGAGGGTCTGTAGGGTTTTTAAATCCCCAAGTGGTTGGCCAGCGCCCCTCCGAGGGGCAGGAGGCAGGGCTCTGTCTCAGCCTCGGGCTACTGTTGGGACCTCTCTCCCAGGAGGACGGTGCTGTCGGAGGCCTGGCAGGAATACCCGGAGGGAGGGCGGGGTACCTGAGACACCTCCCCCGGCCACCCCTGCTTGGGGCTCCTTCAGGTGGAGCCGGAGGACCCTGGCGGGGAGAACGGAGCCAGCACTCTGCCCCCCGCACTGCAGGGTTTGCTGAGGGTATTTTATTTTACACCAGGAGGATTTAATGAGCGCCGTAAAGGGCACATTTTTCACAAAATGGGCTTAATTTGCCTGAAAAATAGGATAAATTTTTTGAGAGCTCAGAACATGTCTCATTAGCTTCGCTTGGCTGTTTTTATGAATGCCGTTTCGTTAGTCATCCAGGTTGTTTTAGGAAACCAAATGCCCACTAAAGATCTGCAATAGAAATTCATCCGGAGCCGGTGCTGGGAGCAGGAGAGAGGCCTGCGTGTGGGGGTCCCTCCTAGGCCTACAGGAACTCCTTTTATTTATTAAATATTTTTTATTGCCCTGCCGGTTTGGCTCAGTGGATAGAATGTCGGCTCCAGGACTGAAGGGTCTCGGGTTCGATTTTAGTCAAGGCCTTTTACCTCCGCTTCAGGTTCGATCCCTGGCCCTGGTCGGGGCCGTGTGGGAGGCAGCCAGCCAATGTGTCTCTCTCACATTGATGTTTCTCTTTCTCTCTGTCTCTCCTGCTTCCTTCCACTTTCTCTGAAAATCAATGGAATGAGGACAGTACATGAAGCTGAGGTGCTGGGAGTTAATTCCTAATTTCTTAAAAAATATGTTTTTATTGATTTTTAGAGAGATAGGAAGGGAGAGAACCACTGATGCGTGAAACATCCATTGGCTGCCTCCTGCATGCCCCCTAGTGGGGATTGAGCTCTAAACCTGGGCATGTGCCCTAACCAGGAATTGGACCAGGAATCGAACCAGCAACTTTTCTGTGCACCTGACGACGCCCAACCACTGAGCCACACCAGCCTGCAGGGACTCTTTCACCGGGACAGCCTCTCCACCATAAGGCAGGGCCCAAGGAACTCGGAGCTGGCCCAGTGCTTGCCATCCCAACCCCCAGAGATGTTGTTTTGCAAACACTGCTCCTTGCTGAGAGACTAGAGGGTCAAGGGTCCTCTGTTGGATAAACAGCTGCAGACAGATACAAAGTCTGCAACACCCGCCCAGGAACTAAAGAATTCATAGCAGCAGAGCTGTGGGCAGAGCCTCGATCTGTAAAATAGGTGGTCGCTCTCCATGGCGTGTGGTAGTGATGGTTTGGTGGCACCGGGTCTCAGACTTGGTGCTCACCATCATTGTCACCTACTGTGGAGCAGGTGTCACACTGGCTGCTTAGGACAAATCAGAGAGCCAGTCCCTGCTCTGCCTGTGAGGAACTTAGGCCACGTATTATTATACCCATTTTATGGACGAGGAAACTGAGGCCCGGAGTGGGGGGTTGAGTTGCCCAAATTCCCACCGTGGCTGCGCCCGGCTGCCTCCCAGGGACCCTCTCACAGCACCTTTCCTGGTTGTTCACATTTGTAGTCTGCTTTTTCAGACTTCACTGTAAACTGAAATCTCAGAGGCTTGAGGGTCCCTGGATGGAGGGTTAATTTGGGGTTGCAAGACAGTGTGGGAACTGGCCTCCTAACCTCCCTGACCTGGTTTCCTCACCTTAACGCAGGGCCGTGATTTATCCCCTGTCTACCTCACAGCGCTGTGGGGAGGCCAGTGGGGGGCCAAATCCCCACTGATGGTGTCACCGCCAGGCTGTCCTGCAGGCCTAGGAAACGGGTGCCGTGAAACATCCATTGGCGATGCGCCACCTTGTTGGCCGATGCGCCACCTTGTGGCCAAAGAGGGTATTGGCGTCAACAAGGTCAGGAAATGGCTCCTATACAATTGATCCAGGATCCAGACTGGCGTCCAGTTTATCCAGGATCCTGATCAGCACCCCACTCTCCTTGCATCAGGATTCCTTGGTGTGAAATGGTTTAACCCAGTGCACTGACGGCTGCTTGGCAGACAGCTGCCTCCCGGGGACAGCAAAGCCAGGAAATGGGTCCGTTTTATTAACCCATCCCCCCGAAAGTCACTGGGGGATGGGCTCTCCTCCAGGTGAGCTTTCCGGCAGAGCCCAGGCTGAGGCTGCCCCACCGATGGGGCGGTGAAGGCCGGGGCGATAGCTGCTCGTCCTGGGAGAACTATGTTGGAATTCCCGGTGTTGCATTCCTGTAATTGTTTGGTCACGGCTCACTGAGTGTTCTGTCCCTCACCTGCTCACGCTGCTGCCTCCACTGACTGCAGATGACGGCAGCTCTGTCCTGCTTTCTCACCCGCCATCATTTTCTTTCTGTCGGCCACTAGCTAAGGAGCACGTACGGCGCAATCGGCAGAGCCGGACCTTTTTGGTGGAGAATGTCATAGGCGAGATCTGGTCCGAGCTGGAGGAAGGTAGCGTCCTTGAATGTCCTTTGCCTCCGCTGGATTGTGTATGTGTGTGTGTGTGTGTGTGTGTGTGTGCTGCTGCTGCTGGCAAAACTGCATTCCTACTTGTCCCTTTTGCACTTTTGGAGAATGTCCAAAATCACTCGGTTTTACAGACTGCTCCCCCAGGGAGAGGTCTTTGGGGAGCTGTGATCTTGCATGTGGTGAAGCCATCTAGACTCTTCAGAAGAGAGGTAGGGCCTGGGACTCACTGGTTCCAGGACAAGTCCTCAGTTAAACAGCCGGCCACTTGCTGGTGCTATTCACTTGGCAGGAAGTTGTCCGCTGGGTCGTGCCAGATACGCAGCAGCGTGTGGCACGAATGCTGTTGTTTTAAAGATCCAGGCATCTGGGCTCTGGATCGTCCATGCTAACTGTCGCTGCTAGCAGACATCATTGCCTTCTCTTTAGTCACGAATAACCCGCTGCACCACTAATTAGCAAACCCATTGCACTAATGAGAAGGGTGGGGTACCCCGTCATTGCCCGCCAGCCCGTTTCAGGACGGTTGACAAGCGGTCTATGTGAAGGATGGCTGGTGTTTTTTTTTTGCCAGGTGACAAGTATGTGGTTGTGGACAGTGGCGGTGGCACCGTAGACCTGACCGTCCATCAGATACGGTTACCAGAGGGACACCTTAAGGAGCTGTATAAAGCCACAGGTGAGCGCTGCACGGTGATGTTCTCCTACCTGAGCCGGGCCACTCCTTTCCGACTTCTCTCAGCCTGTCATTGTCTCGGTGCCGCCAGCACGTGGGACTGCTGGCAGGAGAAGGCACTGAGGCTTTTTTTTTTAAGATAAGTTTTCATAATTTCTTTCTTTAAAAAAATACATTTTTTAATTGGTTTTAGAGAGAAAGGATAGGGGGAGAGAGAGAGATAGAAACATTAATGGTGAGAAAGAATCACTGATGGGCTGCCTCCTGCACGCCCCACACTGGGGATCGAGCCTGCGACCTGGGCATGTGCCTGACCGGGAATCGAACCGTAACCTCCTCGTTCAGAGGTCGTTGCTCCACCACTGAGCCACGCCGGCCGGGCGGCTCCGCGGCTTATTGAACATTGGAAAGCAAAGCGCAGCTCCATGTCCTTTAAAACACAAACCTCCCCCCCTGGGGTTCTGGCCTCCAGGGAGCCCGTCTCAGATCCTGGCCGAGAAAGTGGCTCCTGGAAGGATGTGACAGAAGCCCGAAGACACGTGTGGCCCGGGGCTATGGCTAAGCCTTCTGGGAGGGCCCGGACCCCTGGTCGGGGAGGTGGTGATGAGGAGTGAGTAGATCCAGGGGCGAAGCGAGGCCTGCCTGCTCCCGGTCCTGTCCGGGGTGTCTGCGGGGGAGGAGGAAACCGCGATACTCCTAGCGCCTTACATGTATTGCTTTTATTTAAAGTGTAACTGACTGTAAACAGGTCATTGCCCAGTGGTGTCTGGAGGGAAGCTTCTCCACGAGGAGTGAGAAGAACCCAGTGAGGTCCTAGCTGTGCTCCGTTGTGTGTTTGGGAGAAGAGCGGGGTGGCCTCAGAGTCGGGGCCCCGTCCTCCGCGTTTCTAACACGGCGACTCCGTTTCGTTCTTGGCGCAGGGGGACCCTATGGATCCTTAGGGGTCGATTACGAATTTGAAAAGCTCCTGTGTAAGATTTTCGGAGAGGACTTCATCGAGCAATTCAAAATCAAGCGCCCCGCCGCCTGGGTGGACTTGATGATTGCGTTCGAGTCTCGCAAAAGGGCGGCCGCCCCGGACCGCACCAACCCGCTGAACATCACCCTGCCCTTCTCCTTCATCGATTACTACAAGAAGTTCCGCGGGCACAGCGTGGAGCACGCCTTGCGGAAGAGCAAGTGAGTAGGACCTGCCTTTGGCCCGGGAAACTCGGCAGTGGAGCCGAGAGAAACTCCTCACGGCTTGGCTGCCCTCATAGTGCCCTCCAAATGATTGTGCCCCTTTGCGGGGCGCCGGGGGGCGGGGGGGGAGTGCCATCAGAACGCGTGGACTTAGCACGTCTGATGCATGTGTAACCACGGCGGTTCCATCCTCAGTGATGCTCCAATGTCCCATCTTGGCCAGTGGGAGCCCCTTCAGGTTGGCTCCTGACTCCCATTGCCTCAGCCTTTGCGGTTTATTTCCTTCTCCTTTTTTATCTTCTTATTGATTTCAGAGAAGAAGGGAAAGGGAGAGAGAGAGATAGAAACAACATTGATGAGAAAGAACCATTGACCGGTTGCCTCCTGCATGCCCCCTCCTGGGGATCGAGCCCCCAACCTGGGCATGTGCCCTGAACAGCGAACCGTGACCTCATAGGTTGACACTCAACCAGGGAGCCGCGGTGGCCAGGCCCTTTGTGGTCTCTAACGGTCTCCGCCTGTGTCAGTGAGGTGCCCCTGACTCACCCTGTACGTTCCCCACCACACCTGTGATCGGCTGCTCTCTAAGACGCCCTGGCTCCTTTCAGGGGAAACAAAGCGGACTTGACTCCAGGCTGCTGTGCCCGGGGAGCAGGGTCCTTGCCAGACCCTCCCAGGCTGCCGTTCTCTCTGCCCTGGCCCCCTGCAGAGGGCACCTGCATCTGGTTGTCTCCCATGTCCTGCCTGCACAGTTCCGGGGCCTCCCTCGCTGGGGAGACTGGCTGCTGCCAGCCCGTGGGTCACCCCACACCATACACGCTGTCCTCCGGCCCAGGCCCTGGGAGGATTCCTGGTCCGTAGACAGGGCGGCATCTAGAACGTGCTGCTGGAGGAGCTGGAGGTGCTATGCTGCAGGGACGGAGCCGCCGTTAGCTCAGCCCCTTTGACCTTGAGAGCAGACGGGTGCGCGCTGCGCTCCACAGTCCCTGGCGTTCCTTTTACACTAGGAAGTTTCCAGAGTGTTTTCCCAGATGAGGTTTTTAACTTGATCTTCACAATAACCCTGTGAGGGAGGTAAGGCAAGTGGTATTCGCCTTGATTTGCAGACGGAAAGCCAGGGCTCAGAGAAAATGCCCGAGGTCCCATGGCTGCTGAGAGGTGGGGCCAGGCTGGAGCCCAGCAGCCCGACTCCCTGTCCAGTGCTCCTGCTGCTGCACGCTGCCCCTTCGATAGGGACAGTGAGGGCACTGGCGGGAGGAGGCTTCTCCCTGTTCTGGGACAGGTAGCCTTCGGTAGCAGCACGGCGAGCCGCTAATGGACTTGCATCCAACGATTGTGGCATTGAAGTGCTGCTACCTAAGGCTACCTGTCCAAACGAGAGCGATGCCTTTACCTCCTTGTCCTCCGCACTTGACATCGGCACCCGCTTCCCCCGGGAAGGGAGGCCACGTGGAGGCAAAGAGAAACAGAAGAGGCCGAGTCTTAGCTTGGAGCGTCCAGGGGCTCAGGCCTGGCAGGGGAGGGTATTTCCGAGGACCTCACCCCCCGCCCCCCTGCCCCGCTGCTTGGAGCTGACATCTGTGCTGCCAGGGCCGGGTCTGCCTGTGGGTGTAGTTTGTCCGCTCACCGCTGTCCCTCTCTGTGCCACCCCCCACAGCGTGGATTTTGTGAAGTGGTCCTCCCAGGGGATGCTGAGGATGAGCCCCGATGCCATGAACGCCCTTTTCAAGCCAACCATCGACAGCATCATCGAGCATCTGCGTGAGTATCCGCTGGGCAGAGCCGCGAACGGGACTGACTTTTCCAGCATCACCGACCAGGCATGTGAAGTCAGGCTGGCAGCCACAGGCCCTCGGGGACCGGAAGCAGCCGAGCACCATCCTCACCCCCCTTTCCCTTTGGCTCCCCAGGCAGTGAGCTGCGGGCTGTGGAGCAGAATGACCTCCAGCCACGGGCCCTGGGCAATGTGGTCTTTGCTTTCTGTGGAAAGATCAGGAACCACGGCCCTGGCTGGGAGAAGCCACTGAGTGTGAGCCCGAGAAAGGTCCCCAGGAGGGGAGACGGGGCAGGCCACGCTGCTCTCTGCTGCCTCGTGGCTCCCCCAGGGCCACACAGGGACTCACCGGGGACCCTTTTCAGTATCTACCCCCCCTCCTACCAAATCACAACCCCTACGAAACCAAAGAATAATGTTTGTTTATTTACTTAATATTCTTATTGCTTTTTAGATAGAGGGAGAGGGAGAGAGAGAGAGGAACATCATTGCAAGACATCAGCCCGTTGCCTCCTGCAGGCCCCCTACCGGGGATCCAGCCTACAACCCGGGCAGGTGCCCTGACCAGGAATCAAAGGAGCAGCCTTTCGGTGCCTGGGACAACTCCCAGCTGAGCCGCACCAGCCAGGCCCACAGAGTAACATTACAAGCGCCTGCCTTGCCTCCTTAGCAGAGCCACAGGTTCGTGAGGGTTAGGAGTAGCCTTCAGGTATCGCACATCACTACTTTACACGATCGCCACCTCTGCTAAAATGGTGTCTACTTAGCAGTAGCTTTGGCTGGTGCTCCGAGCATAGTGGTGTGCAAACCCCCTCTCGCTAAAGGACCAGCTCTCCACAAATCCTGTTCACACCGAGCCTGTCCTCCAGGTGGCTGTGTCCACGCCCCCCGTGCTCAGGCCACCCCGTCCCCGTGCTGCTGGCTCTGGTGACAGGACGGTGTCCTTCCCTCTCCCCTCGCAGGGGACCTGTTCCAGAAGCCCGAGGTATCCACGGTCAAGTTCCTCTTTCTGGTGGGCGGCTTCGCGGAGGCGCCCCTCCTGCAGCAGGCGGTCCAGGCCGCCTTCGGGGACAAGTGCCGCATCATCATCCCCCAGGACGTGGGCCTCACCATCCTCAAGGGCGCCGTGCTCTTCGGCCTGGACCCCGCCGTCATCAAGGTGCGCCGGTCCCCGCTCACCTACGGGGTGGGCGTGCTCAACCGCTACGTGGAGGGCAAGCACCCGCCCGAGAAGCTGCTGGTGAAGGACGGCACCCGCTGGTGCACCGACGTCTTCGACAAGTTCATCGCCGCCGACCAGTCCGTGGCGCTGGGCGAGCTGGTCAAGCGCAGCTACACGCCCGCCAAGCCCTCCCAGCTCGTCATCGTCATCAACGTGTACAGCTCCGAGCGCGACAACGTGAGCTTCATCACCGACCCCGGGGTGCGCAAGTGCGGCACGCTCCGCCTGGACCTCACGGGCACCGGCGGTGCCGCGCCCGCCCGGAGGGAGATCCAGACCCTCATGCAGTTCGGGGACACC